GTGTGTGTGTGTTTATGTTAGAGAGAGAGAGAGAGAGAGAGAGAGAGAGAGAGAGAGAGAGAGAGAGAGGAATCTGCTTGGGAGGGCGGGCATAGCGTGAGGGCGAAATGGAAAAAGTAGGGTTTCTAGGGTGAATTGTGACGGAGTTTAGGAGCAGATTCAGTTGGGGAAACCTGACGGAATTTTCGGACCAGATGCTCAGAGCGTAGGAGAAATTTCTGGGACGCATGCGACCGGCGGTCGTGACCACATTCACTACACTTCACGTCACAAACTGTTAGTGCGAGTATCTTTTTCACCTCAATACAAAAGAGGACAGCCATGTAGAGGCAGCGACAGAGCAACTAGTTCAGAGCATATTCATGTTCGAACTTCCTCAATGCATCTGGTCGGATTCTCGCCTCAGTTGGACACAGACGAGAATTGAAGGACAGACGAAAAAAAAAAAAAAAAAAAAAAAAAAGAACAGGAGGAACCCTGGCGCCAACTTGCCAAGGGCATGGCCACACCACCACTCTCTCCAAATGTGCAAAATGAGAATGAACTTCCCTCTAGAACAAGGCCAGATGAACCGGTCTCATTTTTGTGTTTTTCACATTTCCATACTGCTGTGGCGAGGCCCATGAGCCCTCGCTTCACTACTCTAGACATGCACAAAAGACAAAAATCATGGCGATGTATCTTTCCATATTTCACCGCAAGATTCACTCTCGTCTTGCACATTTCGAGAGTAGCGCAGCGAGGCCCCATGGCCTAGTAGCACAGTAGGGGCATCGCCACACCACTCTCGAACTTGTGCAAACAAAATGAGAATGACCCTGACCCTAGAATACAACCAGATGCACCCGCCACATTTTTCTCTTTTTCACCTTTCGACAGTGGTATGGCGAGGCCCTAGGCTTTGTAATGGACTTGTCTGGGACAAATCAAGGATTTGTCGTTGCTTTTCTCCGCTGCTCCCAGCGGAACTACCCAGGAGATTAGAGACATGAGAGAGAGACATGAGAGAGAGAGAGAGAGGTCTGTGCGCCGCTGAGTTTTTGTGCCAATAAAGCGCCAGTTTTCCTAAGGGATGCGGTTGTAGAGACTCTCCGCACTTTTCTCTACTCTTGCTCCGCGAGTGATGCTGCTGCTGCACTCGTTTCATGAGACTGATGTAGAACTCGTCGTGGTATTCGTATGGACTACTGTAGTTCCTTGAAGACGAGCTGTGTGCCCTCCTCCCTCCTCCCTCCTCCCTCCCCGAGCTCTACCTTCAGCTCTTCCTCCCTAGCGCTGCACTCTTTCCAGACCGGAGATTCGAGAGTGGCGTAGCGAGACCCGTATCCTCTCTCTCTCTCTCATTCGAGTAAGTGCAGGAACTACCTTAGCTGCTCAGTAGATTGAAGAAGAGGAAGGTCATCGCGTTGTCGTTGGCCTTTCCGTGCGCATGTTGCGCGCACTTCGTCGTTTCCCTGTGCGCACACTCTACTGGTAACCGAATCCCCCCATCTAGATGTGTATAAGAGACAGT